CCCATGTTCCTTCCTGGCAGACAGGAGCTGCCTGTGAGGGAGGAGCTGCACAGAGCGGCCTCGGAGCAGGGGGGCTGTGAGCGCCAGCCCGGGGATTCGGCCGGAGCCAGCGAGCCTAGAGGGGGGATAGCTGGCCCCCTCCCCACCCCTTCCCACCAGCAGGCGTCTGTCTGCCAGCCCAGCACCCAGGAGGCCGCTCTCCTCGGGGTGCTATGCCTGCTCCAATTTGGAAACTTCTTGCCTCTGGAGAAGCCCTCCTGCTGGCTCTGCCTGGCAGCAGTTCATACCCCACGTTCAGACGGAGACTCTGATGCTCGGAGAGGACAAGTGGCTTGTTTGGAGTAACCCAGTCTACAAATGGCCAAGACGGGCAGCTGACCCAGAGCCTCCCACCGTTTTGGCCCTGTGGCTTCCAAGTGAGCCTGGTCCCTGCTGGCCTGGAGGCGGGAGTGTGCTGGAGAAAGGCAGCTGGCTAAAGCCAGTGGTAGTTGTGAAGATAAACACGTTGTGGGAAACACGTTTTAGGACGTGTTCTAAACCCAGGTAAGGGCTTGGTAAAGAGATGGAGTCACCAAGGGTTTATTCTATGCCTCCTGTGTGCAGGGCACGGGGCCAGGTGCTGAGGGAGACGCCGGGGCATGCCAGGAGAAGCGCCCTGGCCTCTGGGGCTTAGCTGGTAAGATGAGGGCAAAGCTCTTCTACTGTGTGCTTGCCGGGGCTGGACATGGACTCACACTGTGAGCACAGCCCCCTGCAATAAGAAGGTTCCCCGGGGCACTGGCTGGGCCGAGCCCTGTGGCCCACTCTGTTTTACTGCTGTCCCCTACTGCCCTTGATCTTCTCTGTGGAGCTTATGGGACGGCATGCTATGTAAAGCAGTGATTCCTACATATCAGGGGGCTTACAGGGGGCTGTGGCAGGGTCAGAGGGCTTCCTAGGAAAGAGACCTCTCAGCTGGGATTGGAAAGGTGCACAGAGGTTGCTGGGCTTTCTGGGCAGAGGGAATGGCAGGTCCTAAAGCCTGGAGGCAGGACAGCTTGGAGAAGCTGAGGGGCTCACGGGCTCGGTGTGGGCAGAGAACGGGGGGCCGGTAGCCCTGAGGACAGCCTTCATTCCAGCTGGGCCCTGAGCTCTGAGCCTCGAGTGTATGCCCTCCAAGTGCAAGTGCAGCGTGGGTAGATGCCTGTTAATTTCACACTTGGTTGGAGCCTCCTGGAGAAGAGGGGTGCAACGGAGGTCCTGCTCTGGTGTTTGGGTGCAGGCTGGAGGCAGAGGGACCCCATAATGTTCCTTCCCAGTGCCTGTGGTCGCTGGAGCTGCTGGGGGCAGGACCCCTGACCCTCTGGCATATGTGGGGACACACAGGTTGTGGGCTGATGAGGACAAATTATTTCCCCCCAAGTTTTTATTTTCAAAAATCAAGAGAAATGTTGAAATAACAGTGCAGTGAGCACCCAGTGTAGACGTCATCTTGATTTGCCAGCTGTCAGCATTTTGCCCAGTTTGCTTTCTCTCTCTTTCTAAATATATGTGCGTGTATTTCTGAGCCTCTCTCAATAGGCTGCAGCATCCAGACCCTTACCCCTAAATCCTGCAGGGCACATCTCCAAGGAAAAAGGACATCCCCCACATACCCTCTGTATTAGTACCACTCCCAGAAAAGTCAGCAGTGAGTCCAGCAGGGCATCCAGTCTCCAGCCCACCGTCCGGCGCGTCCGGCCGCCCAGGAATACCCGCTCTCACTGGTCTTCACCCCTGCATTCAGGACCCAGTCCAGGCACTGAGATCTGCCTTTGGTAGCCTTGCCATTTTAGTCTCCCCGGCCTTGTTTTACCTTTCATGGTACTGACTTAATGTCCCACCTTCTGGATTTGTCTGGTTATGTCTTCAGGATTAGACTCAGGTTAAGTATTTTTGACAGGAGAACTCTGGAAACCGTGTCTTCTCATTGTATCACATCAGGGGGTACCCAATGTTGGGGTGTGTCTTGATTAGGGAGGCCAGGTTTGATCAAGGACAATCATCTTTTAACAGTTATATTTTTCTTGTATATTCGACATGACACGAACAGTGCGGTGCAGGCTGGCGGTAATTTTATAGATCTAATTGCTTAGGCTGGAGCTCGATTGGGCTAGCAGGTAGAGAGAGAGCTGATTTAAAGAAACACCCCAAGTTAATCATCCAACAGGACAGGGAAGAATCAGGAAGGGGGTGTGGGAATCGCTGAGCTTCTGGAAACCCAGACAGAATGGTTAAGAGCAGAGCTCTTGGTGTCCGGCCAACCGTCGCAGAGGTCCTGACTGGCCTCTTCTGGCCTCGCCCTTGGGCTCCTTCGTCAGTGTCCTTCCCTGGCTCGTCTGCCCCACCTGAGCAGTGGGCTTCACACCGATCACCCCCAGGCTGGGGTGGTAGCGCAGGCCTGCCTTTGCCTGGTGGAGAGGCTGGGGGTAGGTTGGCAGGCCCCCTGAGGGCTGCCTGCTGCCAGCACCCTTCCAGAACCCCCCAAGGCTCCAGGCAGTGAGGCAGTGACAGCTGCCGGCCCTGGCACACTGCCAGGGAACACCTGATGGCCTTATCTGTTTCCTAAAGGTTAATTAGCTGTTTAAAGTATGGAGCTTGTCTTCCCCACCCCAGGTAACATCCCCTGGGGCTTGGCTGCCTGCTGATCTCCCAGTGTTCTAGAGGACGTTGGAATAGGGGAGGGGACAGCCAATCCTGTCCCCTCCCCCCACTTCCCTTGGCTGCTACATCCCAGGGCCCTGCTGGGGGCAGGGTTGAGGAGGTACAAGGGAGGCTGGAGGCAGGGGGACCCTGAGGGTGTCAGGGGGAGTTGGGACCTCTGAGCTGGGGGATTCCTGGGAAGACTTCTTTAGCCCTGTGAGGTTCCACATACGACCCAGCTCCAAGTTACATGACGCCAAGGTCACACAAGGTCACATGGCTCATTGGTTGACTCGTGGTCAGGGGAAGGCGTACAAGTGGACATCCATTCTGGGCCCTGGATGCAGTCCTGCCCCAGCCATTTCCTGGCAGGTGACTTCAGGCAAGTAAGTGGACTTGTCTGAACCTCAGTCTCACTGGGGAAAAGTATCACCACTATCACCACCTACCTGTGGGATTCTTGTGCAGGTGAAGAGCACCAAGCACTTTAACCTTTACTGCAAGTCCGTTCTCCTGATGAGAAGACTGAGGCTCAGAGATGGGAGTACGTTTGCCCTAGGACACACAGCTAGTAAGCTGTGGAGCTGGACGGAACCCAGGCGATCTAGTCGGGCCCCAGACTATGTGCCTAAGCTCCCTGCTGTGCTCTGACGGGTCTCCTGTGCCTCCAGGTTGGGGCTTTAAGCATCAGCTGTTGGCCCCTTGCTGTCCTGCACTGACAGGTGTGGGTCCAGCGCAGCCCAGCCTGGGCTAGACAGGGACGCCTTCCCTCTCCACCCCGTGCCTGACCCCCTTCCCACCCGCATCCCCTGCCAAAGTGCATCCTTCTACCCCAGGCCTGGCCAATGGACCAGCATCTCCTGCAGCCCTGCTTGCTTTATATCAGTGGCCTGCTGGGGGTCTCCCCCAGGCTGTGATTTGGGCTCGTGGGAGGAGAGTGCTGGCGAGGAAGGGCTTGAGTCTGACCGCTGGGTCGCAGGCTGCGGGTCAGGCTGCTGAGCCACAGACCCGAGTTCTGACCTGCTCCACCACCTCGTGTCCTGGCCCCTTGGTGCCTCGGTTTCCCCACTTGGACCCAGGGCAGAGTAATGCTGTCTCCCCTGGCAGCGGTTGCCAGGGCCCTGAGCTGAAGCGCAGAGGCCCACCCTGGCACAGGGCCAGGCTCGCTGCGGGCCCAGCACTTGGCGGTTGTTGCAAGCATGCTTTAAGCGGTTTTTGAAAAGTGGCGTCTCCAAGTGTGATCAGGCACAAGCAATTCAGAGACACCCCCTTGGGCCTCTCTTTTGACTTCCCTGGGAAGAGATCTGCCCAACTCCACCCTTACCCGCCTTCCTGTCCATTTGTTCGTTTGTGCAGTCATTTATTCATTCACTCATTCATTCATTCCACATGCCTGCATGGAGCACTTTTGAGGCCCCTTGCCAGGAATTCACGAGCTTTTTCACCCATTTTCATTGAATTCCCAGGACCGCTCATGCAGCAGGTACTGTCGCTATTATTCCCTCTTCACTAACGGGAACACTGAGGCCCAGGGAGCTGGAGGCGCCCTCCCGAGGTGCCCCTGCAGAGTGTGTGTGGCCTGGGAGGTGGTCAGGTGCTCTTGTCCCGAGATTTTAGAGAAAACAATGGTTTGGTTCCAACCTGAACTGATTCAGTACTTCTCAGGAGAAGATATTCTTTTTTGTTGGTTTCATGGTTCAATAAAGAATGAGTACTTGGGCTTGGCCGGAGGCCCAGCCACTCTCCACGGTTTGCCGCAGCTCTGGTTCACGGCTCCCTTCTTGTCTTGCCTATAAAAGAACCTGGGACTGCCTGCTGTGAGGGGCTGGAGGGGCAGGCCTAGGAGGGGAGGGTGCAGGGCACTGCGGGGGCCCAGGAGTGGGGCCCAGCCTTCCTGTCCTGGTTCCCCACCTGCAGGCAGGCCTGTGGAGTGCCTGGGGCAGCCAGCGCCTTCTCTGACTGTGCTGTCCCCAGGGATGAGAGACAGGGAGATTGCGTCTCAGATGTGGGCCTGGACCCCACAGTCTGACCCGCCCACCCCAGGACCCAGAGAGAGGCAAGCCCTGTGCGGGATTGGCTGTTCTTGCCTGCCTCCCAGCAGCCCAGCAAGGCATGGGGTGGGCATCTGTCCCCTTCTGGGGTGGCCGGACACAGAGCTCCTGCCCGGCACTGTCCACCTGGGGGCCGTGTTCTTGTTCAGAGCCGGTGATGTCCTGCCAAGGGCAGGCAGGATGTGGGGTGGGGTGGGGAGGGCAGGAAGGAGGCTCCCTGGTGTCATTTGCTCATCCCCTGGGACATCTCCCGGAGCTAAAAGGCTACTTTTCTGTTTTTTCTTGCAGTTACCGAGAAGGAAGTCCAGCAGTGGTGAGTAGCTGCTTTTCCCCACCCTCTGGGTTGGAGGTCTGTGGGTGCTGGCTCTGTGCTGATGGGACAGCGGTCCAGCTCTCCAGGACAGGGACAAATGGAGGGGTCTCTGAGAGTGGCTTATCCACCAACCAGTCCAGACAGCCTTTGTTCCGATTCCTTTCTCACTGGGGACTAACATAGGTCCAGTGGAACTGGGGTGGGGTGTTGGCAACTCCTTGCCTCGCATGGCACCTCTAAGGACCCCCAGATCCTGAAGTGGCAACTCCAGGCCCTGCTCACAAGGAGGGCTTGAACCAGAAACAAGTCAGGGCACTGGGTCCCAGGCCCAGCGTTGTCACTAAATCACCCCATGGCCTGGAGAAGTCTCTTCCCCTCTTTGGGGTTCAGCCACCCCTTCTATAGGGACTGATTAGACTAGATCAGGATGGATCTTGGATGCCAGCTCCAATCAATCTGGTGGTTGTATGGAGTGCTGTGTTAAGAAGGATTCTGAGGCTGTATGTCATGGAGCAAATGGAACATATAACAGTGAGGGTTCATGAGGTCTATAATGCATCAGTGATGCCTGTCCTGGGCTGAGACTAGAGGGTGACATACTGTCTGTGGACTGCGGAGCAGACGGGGGCTCACGTTAAGGTGGGCCTGAGTCGGGGAGCTTAGGAGAGAAGAGGTGGCCTTGGAGGCCTTCCAGTGAAGCTTGGTGCTGTAGAAGTGGGTTCTGGAGTCCTGGCTCTGCCTTTCCAAGTGACCTCAAGCGATCCAGCCCCTCTGGGCCTCAGTTTCCTCATGTGTATGACAGGAATGATGCTACCCTGGGAAGACAGACCCTGTTAAAGTCCTCGCACAGTCCCCAAGAGATGGCAGCCATGGCCAGTGGTCTTCCATCCACTATTCAGATGGGGAGCTGATGTGCCTTCGGAGACACAGCCAGGCGGTGGTGGGCCTCAGCAGGGACTCAGGCCATGAGACTCCTGGGGGTGTTCTGCTGGGGGCAGAGCCGGGCAGCCCTGGGGGCCGCTCCTTAGACTTCTGGGTCCCTGAATCCAGGCTGTAGCAGGTGGGAGCTGTGGCTTTCCTGTCCAGCTTGACTGACCCCTTGCTGGACACCCCTCCTCCTCCAGGAAGTCTTCCTGTATTATCCCTCCTTCCCATGCAGCAGCTGGAGGGATCTTTTCAAACAAAAACCTGATGATGCCAGGCTTCTGCCTAAACCCTCCCTGGATTTCAGGTGAAGTCTGAGCCCTGCGTGCAATTGTGTGGTTGAGGCCAGGCTCTGTCTGGCCCCACTGAGCCCCCCAGTCTCAGCTATCTCCCTCTGCCCACCCCCTGCCTGAACTGCTACCTGTTCTTGAGCTCACCTTATCCAGGGGAGCTGAGGGAACTAGGCTGAGGCCGAGAAGGGCAAGTCAAGGGCAGGATCTGGCCTGGAGAGATGGCAGACGCTCCCCCGGTGCTGCTATGTGCCAGACATGCTCTGCTCTCAGGCATGGCCTCATTCATTGCGTCCTCGCGGTCACCCAGAGAAGTGTCCCATCCCAGCACTTCATAGACAAGGCCCCTGCACCCCAGGAGGCACAGGGCCTGCTCTGACACCTGGGCCTTCCCCTGGAGAGGCAGGAGGCAGAGGGGCAAGTGGGCTCCCGAGCCAGGGCGTGAGTTTGAGTCTCCATGCCCCGTATCCTGGCTGAGCAACCCTAAACGAGTTACTGGACTTCTCAGTGCCTCAGTTTCCTCATCTGGAAGATGAGGGTAAAAGAAGTCAAACTTTGTAGGCATATTGTGAAGAATAAATGAGCTAATTCATGTAAAATGTTTGTTGGTGTGATTAATATAATAATAATAATAATAATAATAATAATAATAATAATAATACCCTCATCAGTTCAACCACGGAGTAATTCTGAGATCAAGCATCCCCTCCTTGTTATGTAGATGGGGAAACTGAGGCGCAGACAGGCAGTATGACTTTTGTTCATTCATCAGGCTGACATCTGAGCTACAACCGGGACAGCAAAGGCCCGGCCGTGGAAGCGGTGTCCTTGCACAGGGAGTGGCCCGGAGGCCAGAGAGGCCGCCGCGGAGAGCCGCTGCTGAGGCTCCCATCACAAAGCCGGGGCTCTGGGGGCCCTGTGCCCGCTCCTTGCTGTAGGAGAGAGTCCTCTAAAGAACTTATAAAGAAAATAATCTTTTCCTTGCTGCAGACTTCTGTGGACCTCAAGGAAATGTGATGCCTCCGTGGCTAGGAGACAGCTGAGCCAATGCCTTTCTCTGGCCTTCCTGGGGCCGCCCACCACCCACCTCACTGTTGTATTCTAGAATGGCTTATCCCAAGGGCAAAGTTGACCAGGGATGGTTAAACAGTGATATGCCACCATCTCCCATCCTGTGCCCACAGCAGACATTGGTAATGGATCACAGATTATAGTGGTTTGGCTCAGTCTCCTGCAATTGGTGTGGATCAGGCTCCACCAGGAATCTGGGCAGCCAGTGCAATTGTCGTCAGCGCACAGAATGAACCCACTTGTTATCCCTTGAGTGGCCTGAACTTCACTGGGTCACTCAGACTGTATGTGGCCCACCGTTCCCTGTGTCTTTTGTAAAGGACACAAATAAGATGAGCACCTGCATCTCAAGGAGACCCTTCCTCCCCCAGCGCCCAGCCAGCCCCTTCATGTTCCAAACAGCTCCCAGGGCACCTGATGGCTGGGTAAGGTGCTGGTGCCTGCCCTCCCCTGGGAAAACTTGGGGTTCCTGAGCCCACCTACCAGGGCAGCAAACAATTTAGGGCTAAACCATCTGGGTGGGAGTGGGGGAACAGTGGGGAGAGACATGCAGAGAGCAGCGGGCCACAGTGGGAGCTGCCTGTCCCACCTGCAGGGGGCCTGGGTGGACTCAGCCAGGCGGGCAGCTTCTGTTTCCCTCTTTGCTTCTCTCCTTCTTGCTTAAAGCCCCTTTGCGGCTTCCCACGGCACTTAGAATAAAGCCCTAACCCCTGGCCTGGCCCTCGGGGCTCCCCAGGGTCTCTGACCTCACCTTTCCCCCAGCTCACATGCTGTCCATCACCAATGGCGAGCTCATCCTACCTCAGAGCCTCCGCCCCTGCTGTTCCTTCTGTTCTGAGATCTTGGCATCTCCACTCCCACGTCACCTCCTGGGGAAGGTCTGCCCCGACTGACCAGCCTATTTCTCCAGCAGGAGAGAGGATCATCTTGTTTTGGGCTGACGTTTCGTAGCTGCTGCACATGAAGGGAGCCAGGCCCAGGGTTCTACTGTGTTTGTGACTTGTCCTGGGCCACCCAGTTAGCAGAGTCAGGGCTGAGATTAGAACTCAGGCTTTGGAGAACCTGGGGGTGTCCAGGCCCCAGATTGTGAGGCGCACAGGCCCGGCCACAGCAATGTGATGCCCGGGCCAGCGCCAGCTGGACACTCACTCGGCGCCAGGTCCACCGTCGGGCACCCTGCAGCTTCATTGCAGCTGCTCCCAGCTCTGGGCTGCCATGCAGCCACCTGTATTTGGCTGAGGGAGGCTGGAGGCTGAGAGGTGAGGCCATTGTTGGGGTCTGCAGCCAGCCAGGGCCCCACCCCAACCCCCTGCCTCTTGACCATCGCCGTTCCCACCCTGAGCCCGATTCGTTGCCATGGAAGAACAGGAACCACGGTTGGGGCTGATTAAGAAATTGCAGCAGATCCCAGGCCCTTAAAAATGCTTTGAAATTGTTACCACCTGGGGAATGAAGTGTGGACCGGTTGGGCACAATAGGGCCGCCTCTGCCTCCATGAAGAAAGCATGCAGGGGGAGAAGAGGGTGGGAAAGAAGCCCACCGGAGGCTGGCAGCGGGTGCACTGGGGGGTGGTGTCATGCATGGTGGGTACCTTTTTTCTCTTATGTTTCCTATTTTACAAATTTCCTGAAGAAACTTTAGGGGTGGAGACACTCTCCCTGGTTGCAGCAGCTGTGTGTGTGTGTGTTTGTGCATGTGTGTGCGTGTGTGCACGTGGTCTGGGTCCCATTCACTCCACCTCCCTGGCCCAGGCCCCTAGGCTCACTCCTGCCAGCTCTTGCCCAGGGCAACCCCTCAAAGCTGAAGGCAGCAGGGGGCTGCTGAGGGGAGGAGAAAGAGGCCTCTTCCTCGTGGACATGTCTGGGACTGTCACCCAGGATCATCGGAGGTCAGGTCTCCCGGGAGCTCTGCGAGGGGAAGGCCACAGGAGGGAGTTTGAAAAGATAACGGCAGAGTGATTGTCCTGGCTGCATAGGCTGATTGCAGCTGGGGGTTATGCTTTATTATTTATGCATCTATCTCTTTCCTTCCCACCTTTCATGCTGCAGAAAACAGTTGCTGTAATACTTCCCTCTTGGCACGGAGGGGGTTGTGGGCTTGCTTCAAGTTGGGCCCCACAGGACAAAGTTCCATGGGAACCGAGAGCCTTGAGTCCTGGGAAGGGCTTGTGGGCAGGAGCCTTTGGGGAAGCGAGGCCCTGGCAGCACGTGGGGAGGGTGGGGAGGGGTTGCTCTGGGCCCTTGGAGAACCAGAGCTGAGCTGGAGTTGGACCATGTGTCGCTGTCAGCATTCATTCGCTTGTTCAGTAAGTCTTTACTTAGCACCTGCTGTGTGCCAGGCCAGCACTGGGCACTGGAGGCAGCAGGGCCTGAGGTGACCAGGTGCCTGGGGTCTCCTGGGCTCATAGGTGGTCCCCAGCCTGGCTCAGCCAGGGTGGGAGGGGGGCAGGAGATATGCGGGAGGGAAGCCCAGCATCTAGTCGGGAGGATTTTGTGTCATTCAGCCTCCAGTGCTTTTATGAAATGTCACATTTCTTTTTTTCCTTCCCCTTTTAAAGAAAGAAGTGTAAGAATGCAGTTGTCGAATCCAGGATTTTCTCCTCTCTCCACCCTGTCAGGAATAGCTTGTTCCCAAAATCCGTCATATCAAAAAACCTCTACTCCCGTGCCCCGTGCTCAGGGACTGCACCCCTTTCCCACACTTTATCTGATTTCC